CTCCAAATGAGGAATGTGAGATTTGAAAGAAAGTCAGGGAACTGGCTCAGGGTCAAGTAGTGGAGGCAGAACGGGCACCTCCCTGATGCACGTGGTTGAGATGTGTATAAATATGCTGGGCCGAATGGACTTATGTTCATAACCCGATGCCTTTTAGAAAACTGCATGCCATCTGTAAACCCTTCCTTTGCTTAAAGTTAAAGACAACTCAGTAAGCGAGCTTGGCCTTGCTGGATTCTTCTAGAACATTCTGCCTGTCTGTCCCAGGGGATGTGTTCAAAACCTGGCTCTGCCAAAGCTCCAGAAATTCATCCTGTCATGTCTCGTGCTGCACTGGCCTCACTGTCTTCCGCGGGGTGAGCAGGGCCATGCTTTTCCAGAAAAGGTTGACAAGAAGTTCAGCCACAAGGAAATCCGTCTCCTCCTTCTTTTTCCTCCCTTACTTTCAGAGGATTGTTTCTCTTTGGTGGTAGAAACTTCCCCCAGCAAAGGGAAGGCCCTGGAATTGGACATCCAACAGTAGGTACCATAAACTGTCTCCCCACCACGCACCAAAAGAGACTCCCAGATGCTCCGAGGTCTCCCACTGGCCAGGCTGGACTTGGACTCTATGGCTTCTCACCTCTTTTGGCGCCAAGCTAATTTGTTGCTCTGCCAGCCCGTCCATGGCCCCTTGGCTGTGTTAACTTGCAAAAGCAGGAAGCCTCACTCATCTGCCACATGTTTCCATCTATGGAAAATTAATTTCAAAGGATGGACTTGTGAATCCATTTGTAAAGGTGTGACATTGGCACATTTCTTCACCATAGGAATGCCGATGACTATGGGCTGACTATCTTTTATTGCCCTTTTTAGCACAAGAGTTCCTTAAACCATAGATGGGGAAGAGATTGTGCCAGTCTGGCAGACAGAGAAACTGAGGCAAAGAGAGGGTGAAAGACTTCTTTCTCATCAGAGAGCTGGAGAGCAGAACCTGGTCTCAATGCTTCTTTCCTCCAGACCAAGTTTTTCCACTTGCTGCTGTAAGGATCTGCACCAAGTTCATGGCCCTCAGGACACCTTTTACTTCTTAAAATCCAAAAACATTAATATAGTCCCAGGAAGTTAGTTTCGCTGCAGCTACTGGAAACCAGGAAGGGTTACTCAGTGAAAGGAGCCTGACACTGGGGCAGCACTGCCCCCTGGTGCCCACTGGGAGGTGTGTTCCTCTCCCCATTCATCTTCTTCAGAGAAGAGGGCAGGGTGCCAGGTGGGCACAGACAGGCCTCCACCCACACACTATTCCCGTAACCAGACCACCTGCCAGGCAATGTCTGCCAGCTTTTCAAGTGGCCCGAATAACTCTGTGAGGGCCCACTGTGTGCTGTCACAACTCCGGGAGGAACACACGAGTGTCTGTCACCGCTTTTTCCAGAGAGGTCTCCCCATCCACCGAGGACACAGTGAGGTCTCTGGGGACTCCTAATCCCAGTGCCCCCACTTCCACTTGGCCAGGCTGATACTCCAAGAAGGTTGGCATCTCCCCTCCACAGCCACCAGGGAGCTGATGCCCTAGTGCCCTTGATCACCAATAGGGTAATCAATGAGTACCAACAGGGTGATCATCTTCCCCTGTATGCCAGGCTCAACGCCGGCTTCTCCCTCACCCAGTCCTGTCCCTCCTAAGCATTTCCTCTGGGCACTCGAGCTGCACAGAGAGCAAACGCCCCTGGTGCAGACCGAAGGTTTCTTCCACCTCCTGCTGTCCTGGCTCTTCCCAGGCCTGGCCTCCCCGTGATGTTCAGCCCCCATGAGAGTAAGCGAGAAGCTGGATGCACAGAGGTTGCAAACTCTTAAAGATGAGGTGCCCCCTCCCCACCCATCCACCCAATTCAAAATGAAAAACTGTAAAACTATAAACAGATATAGCAAAATCCAGAATTACAACAAATTCTGGTTTCCTATGATTAGTAATTTGATGTCTTTTTTTAAAGTATCAAACTTGAAACTTTTCCCCTCCTCAATTTTTGGCGACACAAACAGAAGCTTGACGTGCCTGTTGCACAGTACTCACAGGGTTACGGGGGGAGTGAGGGGAGGCAGAGTGTGGGGCCCAGAGGGCCAGGAGCCTCAGAGGTAAGAACAGGAGTGGGTGGAGACAGAGGTGGGAGGGGCAGGCTGTGGGGAGGGGCTGCAGTGGAGAGGGAGGTCTCTGGAGATGAGGCGGCCGTGTTGGCCTGAGCTAGAGCTAAGGAAGAGACAGGGGACTCCGGGAAGCCACCAGAGCCTCTGTCCTGTTGGCCTGACCTGGCTGTACTGGGTTTAGAAAAGTCCCTGTCACTTTCTGTCTTGGGGAAGCCCAGACGAGGCACAGGCCCAGGTCAGATCCCCACAGGAGAGCAAAGGGAAAATGAAGAAGTGACGACTCACCAGATGGTGCTCCCAGGGAGATGACAGGGTATGGGAGGCACTGGCTGCTGGCTGCCAGAGGGAGGCTGCCCAGAGTGATCTGGTGTGGCTTCGCAATTAGCTCAAATCCTACCCCTTCCACTGACAGGACTCCAGACACCAGGGAAGTTACTCCACTGCCCCTGGCCTCAGGGAGGTAGAATGGTAGGGAGAGAGGTAAACAGTGTTTCCTTTCCTTTTCTTTTTTACTATTTAAAAAATTATAGTAAAATACATGTTACTGCACAAAGGGAACGATCGGCTCGCCGCGAGACAAAAGCCCTTTGTCAAGAGGCAAGATGGTGGCAGAGAAAGGGCATTTTATTACAGCTTACTAGCAAGAGGGAAGATGGCCGACTAACATCCGAAAGAACCATCTTAAGGGGGCACAGAATCCTGAAGCAGCTTTATAGGCCAGTGGGTTATAGGGGAGGGGGTTAGGGATGTTGACCCTCTGGTGTTACAGACCGGGAGTTGCCACACCAGATCTTTCAGTTTTCATTGATGATGGCTATCAGCCTAGACTCTCTGTTTGGGGAGTCACCACATTCCTAAGGAACTCAAAAGAACGAAGTTATCGTCTTATCACAGCTGGGAGGTATATGCAAAAGCAGGGGTCATAAAATCTACAGAACAGGTGGATCTCCTGGAGGGTACAAATCCAGCTGGGTTAGTTAGTCAGAGGTCATTCAAAGTTACGACATGGTCTCTTTTCTACAATATGGTTTCCCTTATGTCAGCCGTGTGTTGAGCTGGTTTCATACATATAACATTGTTTGCTATTTTAACCATTTTCAAGTGTACAATTCAGTGACATTAATTATATTCATAATGTTGTGCAGCCATCACCACTATTCACTTTCAATAATTGAAACACCCCAAACAGAAACTCTGCACCCATTAAGCAATAATTTCCCATTTCCTGTCCCCTCCAGGACCTAGTAACCTCTGGTCTACTTTCTGTCCCTATAAATTTGCCTATTCTATATATTTCATACAAGTGGAATCATATAATCATATAATCATCCTTTTATGTCTGATGTCTGGCTTTTTTCACTTAGCATAATGTCCTCAAAGTTCATCCACGTTGTAGCATGGGTCAGAATTGTCTTCTTTTAAGGCTGAATACTATTTCACCTTACATATATACCACATTTAGTTCATCCATTCATCTGTCCATGGACATTTGAGCTGCTTCCACCTTTGGCTGTTGTGAGTGATGCTGCTCTGAACACGGATTTGCAAATATCTGCTGGAGTCCCTGCTTTCACTTCTTTGGGGGATATACCCAGAAGTGGAATTGCTGGGTCGTATGGTAATTCTGTTTATCTTTTTAAGGAAATGCCAAACTGTTAATGTTTTCTTTATGTTTGGTTGTAATGTTCTGTTTCAAAAGAGTCCGCTACTTTTCTAGCATTCTTAAAACTCTTCCCTAATAAAAATAATAGAAGGCCCTAAAGTATTTCTGAAACAAAACAATATCCGATTGTTGAGTGACATGGAATCCAGGAGCAGCTGGCGCTCGGGGAAGCCCCCAGGAAAGCCACCTCTAAGGGCTCGCTGGGGTCGCCACCTGAGAGGGGATGTGCCACCTTCTGTCCCAAAGGCCGCTGACGCTCGAATGGCGGCCCCTGGGAGTAAGGCAGGGGCTGTCCCCATAGCTAACCTCCGCTTGATCGCAAGAGACGGTAAGAGGAAAGGAGCTGGACAGACGCGAGGCCGTGGCCGCGCGGGCTCCTGGCCTGGGGAGCCGGGCCCTGCGCAGGTGTCCACGGCCGCCAGAGGGCGCGGAGGAGGCTGCCTTCACCTGTCGGGCCCGGCCAGGCCTGGGCCACAACCTTCAGCTCCTTTAATCCTCAGATCCCCTCTCCCCGGGGAGGTGGCAGTGGGATTGCGGTCTCACCAGGTCGGCCACAGGCAGAAGTCTCGGCGCGGAGTGGGGGACATCTAGAGCAAGGCTGGGTCTAGCGCCTCCTAGGACGTGGGGGAGGGAAGCCTGAGGGTCTTGGCCATCACCTGGCCCTCAGACGGCAACAAATGTTGACCACATCCAATCTTCTGCGACTGTGGCCCTGCGCTAAGTGTCCCCCCAGCGTGCTTCATGCCCCTTTCTCTGAGAGGCTGCGGGCTCCTGAAGGGAAGGAGCGTCATGCACCTGTGTGTCCCGCACACAGCAAACACATGCACTCATATCCCCACCCCCCCCACCCCCCCCACCCCCCCCCCCGTGCCATGTGTAGGTCCCAGTGCTCAGCGGTTGGATGGAGTGAATGATTGAGTGAATGAATGGGAAAAAGTGAGTCTGCCCCACAGGCCAGCAGAGAGAGAAGTGAACTGGGGACCTGGAGACTAGACTCGTGTCAACCCTGCCACTGATTCCATCCCATCAAACCACAAGGTTTATTGGCACCAAAGGGGTCCAGGCCCAGAGACGCAGATGATCCCTTTTAAACTCATTTGAAGGAAAATACAACAGCCGGAATTGGGAGCTTTGGGCCATAGAGTGAAATGCAATGTATATAAATATGAATACCTAAGTATATATTTGAAAATAAGGTAGCAAAGAGAATCTATAAATGTTTTAAAGTTTTATTAAAACCTCATTAAATTTCATCGTTTTGCTTGTACTATTATATGAGAATTTCCTTGTTTCTAAGAAATACATGACTAATATACATACCCATTTAATATAAGGCATATGGCTCAAAAACAGTCCAGAAAAAAGTACTTTTTGCTAAAATTGAAAATCAGAAGAAAAAAGTTCATTAAAAATCTATAAATGGGGAGGGGGCATTTGACAATCCATTGGGGGCACCACCAGGAAGCCAGCCCTGGGGAGGGGGTGTTGGGATGTGGGCTTTGGGTGCATCTATGACCCATGGAGTAGGGGTAAGTGTAAACCTACATCCAGGGTGGGCAGCAAGAAAGGAGGGAGAGAGGTGCAGGCTCATGAGGGTCAAGGTTCAGGAGCTGCCTGGGCATCAGGGAGAAGGCGTAGGCCGGCGGAGCTCCACAAAAGCCAACACAGGTAAAGGTGCAGGATGGCCTATCTGTTACACCCAGAGCTGGAGTGTGGCGTGTGGGTGAGTTGAGCTGATTCAAAGGCCCAGGTTGGTTGCAGAATTGGCGTCTGATTTACCCATAATCCCTACCAGGAGACAAGTTCGCAGGGGAGCAGGAGTGCTGTCCAGCTCACAGTGGTCCTCTCAGACCACAGCCGTGCCATCCACCATACTGGGCCTGTTGCAGTTCTTTCTTAAGATTTTTCAGACTTTTTCAAACAAGGAGGGAGATCTGCTCTCTTAATTGAGGCTGCGGGTCAGGCCTGTGGAGACATCAGATCTGAGTGGTGAGGGGGCAGGCGATAATGCTTCCCAGAAACCTTGACAGAAGCTAAAAGCCACAGACTTGCTGGCTTTGTTCATGATACACAAGCCTGTAGAAACTCCTGCCTATTTGGACAAGAAGATGTGTGCAGAAATGTTCACTGCAGCATTATTTGTAAAAATGGAAAACTGTCTACTAACCAGAAAATGGATAAAATGTTGTGGTAACAGCCTCCTGGTACTCTAGGTCCTGTACAGCAGCCTCCCACATTGAACAAGGCTGAGCTGCATAAGCAATAGATAGCATACTGCAGAAACGACATTGTGTGACTTCCAAGGCTAGGTCATAAAAGACACTGTGGCTTGCACCTTGCTCTCTCAGATCACTTGTTCTGAGAAAAAGCCAGCCACCATGCCACTCTAAGAACACTCAACCAGCCCTATGGAGAGTCCATGCAGCAAGGGACCAAAGCCTCCTGACATCAACTTGCCAGTTGTCTGGGCGAGCCATCTTGGAAGCTGGCCCTCCAGCCCCCGTCAAGCCCTAAGACAACTGTCTGTGACTGTCTGTCGCTCCAAGCCTACATCTTTAATGCCGCCTCCCAGCCAGAACCACTCAGCTAATTCCTGACAGAAACTAAGATAGTAAGTGTTACTATTGCAGCTTAAATGTTGTTACTAAGGTTAGATGGCATCTGTTGCTTTGCATACAGCAATGGGTAACTAATACAAATGTTATATTATCAGACAGTGACATCACAGTCTGCTTTTTAAAAAGGAATTAAAATGGCCACGCCATAGAATTCTACTGGGCTTTAACTGAGAATCTATGAGAACCCTACCTATGTGGCACATTAACAGGTACTCAGCCAGATGCTTGTTGCTGCACTTTTATGTGATTTTGTTCCCTTCTTTCATATTTCCAAGTGAATTTCTTCTCCCTTGATAAAACAGGTTTTCTTCCCAGTTTGAATATCATCTGAACGTTCACATCTGGTAGGATGAGTCCATCAGTTCTCACAAGTTGGAGAGAAAGCCCATCTCCTCTTCAGGACATGCGCATAACTGGGCCAATCCCACCTGAAGAGAGAGATCACGGAAGGTGAGCTTGCCTCAGTGGCCTCTCACTCCATCTTCCAAGCACTGACTGTAAGGAATGGGATCTAATTAGGCACTACTGAAGTGGGGGTTTGGGAGAGAAAATGCCAACTTGAGATCCTGGCACCTCTACGCAGCAACCCGAACGTTGAGGGATTTTATTTTAGGTTCTCAATGAAAGAACTGTGTTACTGAAAGGTTTTTTTTTTTTGAAAAGTAAACAATACTAAGACTCAAATCTGTACAATCACATATAAGATTTATCCCTAGGGAAAAAACTGACAGCTCTCCCACTCCCAACCAGACAAAATATGTATTTCTTGACTTCTTAAAAGCAAGGGGAGCACCAGGGTGCGTGTGAAGGTACCCATCCCTTCACCTACCATTTGCCAAGTTGCTTAAATTACTGGCTTATCCAAGACAAAGACAACTTTTCTGTGTCTGCAGTTGAGTGAGGCATATATTTAAATATGAAAGAGACCAGTGAAATTCAAAGACAATGGAATTAAATGAAAAAAAAAAAAAAGCTGTAAGCCCCTGCAGGACCAAGTTAGTTCAGTACTCCACACTAGGGTGACAGTCAGCCCCTCACCCACGGGGATCCTTGTAAATATCCAGGTGAAACATGGCTCCTTGCCACACACCTGGATGCTAGAAAGCTAAGCAGGGCCCACTTTGAAGAGGGAGAGAAAAATTGGACATTTGTTAGTAGTGTCTTACCAACCCCTCCTTTTAGTCCCCCATCTTATGCCATGTCTTCACAGATCTCTGTTCTCAGAGGTGTCAACTCCTCCCTCTCCCCATCCCAAAGGACTACAGAAAGGAGTGGCATTATATTTTGGCAAGTCCACAAACACTGCATCTAAAACAGTGGTTGTGTGTGGCCAATGGGGTTTCAGACTACCCTTTGAGAGCCTGGCAGAGAACAAGGTCTCCTTTCACTTGACCCTCCTTTGCTAATACAAGGCTGTTTGGCTGGGCCCAGCACCCCATGGGGCATATGTTCAGGCCAAGAATAGTCTTCATTCTTCCTGTGAAGCTCTGAAAAGCTGCTAAAGAACACAGGAAATTGTCAGCCCGTTATTTTCTGCTGAAAACGGCAGACACTAAACTTTGAACATTGTGTGGATTAATGCTAAATCATGGGAACCAAGTTTGCTTGAAAAGTAGCAATGTTTTTGTCAGATGAGATACTCCGATAAACCATCTCAGTATTACTTGCAAAGAAGGACATTTTATAACTCCTACTACTAGCACCATGAAAAACCCATTCTTCACCAAAATTACCTTGCTTCCCTGGTGCGCCCTATTGTTGAAACATACTTCATTTCTAACTCCAAAAGGCTGCCTCTTTGTACAAAAAAGCAGGTCTAGAGACCTATTATGGCACGATGCAAACTTCCTGAAAATGAATCATCACCTAAAACTGGGGAAAAACAGACTTCCGGTGTGTCGTGGCCCTGGCATCACCTCTTCCATCAACATTCAAAGATAATCTCTTGAAGTCCAGACACCTTCACATGTGCAGTCAGAATGTAATCTTCACTCCAAACCAGCAAGGAAGACGTGGGCCCTGTTTTATAGCTGAAGAAACAAATGTCCAGTAAGGAAAAGTAACATGCCTAGTTCACACAGAGCTGGGATTTGAACCTAGATGATGAGCGTGTTCAGTGTTTGCTAGCAGACACCAGGTAGTCGTATAGCACAAAAGTGAAGTACACAGTCCCTGGTGTCACCAAGACTGGTTCAAACTGCAGCTCTGCCAGTTGCTACCCATCTATTGGATAACTCACTAACATCTCCAAATCTGTTTCCAAATCTTCAAAAGGATGACACTGGCATCTATAAAGGATTATATGAAGATACTGTACATAAACTATGTAGTTTACTGTCTGGAACAGAGCAAATGTTCAATATATAATAGTCATTATTATGACTAAAGGGGCAGGGAAAATATCCTGAATGAAGTACATGAACTTGTGTTTACATTGGCAAGCTTTTTATTAGAAAGGATTTCAGTTTACTGGAGTGGCGGACAATAATTTTTCCTCTCACATCAAGTAGGATACCACAACAGTTTTCACTAAGATTTTGTTGGGGATTCAGCAATAATTGAATATTAATGATCTATAAACTTAGATCAATGGCTTCCGAAGTGTGCCGGACAATTTACTGGGGCTTGAGAAGAGTGCCAAACTTTTTTTCCACTCTTCAAAATTTTGTTTCATAATGTTCACATTAACATAGCAGCACATTCATACAATTTATTATACAATTATGGATACATGCTTGAAAACATTTTCATAAGGAAACAGGATCAGGTTTGGAGGTGGTGATCTAGATGCTTACTAAGTCAACGCTTGCTCTTGCTGCATTATCTGGCCACCTTACCCTCTTTCCTCTTTCTTTTTTCTCACCTCCACATTCCCAGGTCAGTTTCTCCAAGAGGTTAAAAGGCATGAAAGGTGTGAGGAGTCAGAATGTGCAGGTGGTAGTGTGACAACAAGCCAATGACTCCAAGAGGCAGGAGTCTGTATCCAGCTTTCAAGATTACAACCTGAGCTACATAGAAATAAGCCATATGTCCAATCAACTTCCCATTACTTGTGAACTTGATTTAAAAAAACAATTAGATCTTATTCCACTAGGTGGCAGTAAACCTCTGCCCCAAGATATCCAAACTTCACTGGGATTAGTGTTCACTTGGTCAATCCTGCTTAATTAGAAAGATAGTGGTTAGCGAATTACTACCCTTAGATAATGTCTCTAACAATGGAGACTAAGCACTGCCTGTGCTGCTGTTTACAAGCTGGGCTTTCCTTTTGCCTTCCTGAACATTACATGTATGTATTGTGAATGACCATATAGCAGTTCTTAGAAATCCAGAGGCCATAGAGCAAAAACAGCCCTCTATATGCTTGAAAAGCCTGGAGTCAACAGTAAAAAGACCCTGCCTTAAATGTCCTGTATCAGATTCAGGTAAAACCTTAGGCATGACATGGATAAAGACTTGTGACTTCACTAAGGTGGTAGAATAAAGGTGATTTACAAACATCACAGAATTTTTTTTTTTTTTTTCCTTTTTCTCCCCAAAGCCCCCCGGTACATAGTTGTGTATTCTTCGTTGTGGGTTCCTCTAGTTGTGGCATGTGGGACGCTGCCTCAGCGTGGTCTGACGAGCAGTGCCATGTCCGCGCCCAGGATTCGAACCGACGAAACACTGGGCCGCCTGCAGCGGAGCGCGCGAACTTAACCACTCGGCCACGGGGCCAGCCCCCAAACATCACAGAATTTTTAAATGGTAACTACGAGAATGTTTCTAGAAGTAGTACTTCACGATTTAGGCACATGATCTATACAAACTCTTTCATTTTGCTTTTTCCAAATTCAGTAGGTTGTTCTTAACTCCCTAAAATCAAACCTTTCTGGTTAGAGCTGTTAACCCACTCACTCTTAACACACGACCAAAACAAACAAACAAAACCCCCGAGGTATTCACTTACAGTTATTCCTGAACATCTGATTCTGGTCTTGGAAATAACAGCGAATTTATTTTAAAAAACCATTTGCAACATGTTATGTTCTCCAACAGCAGAAGGCATTTTAGTATGAACTAAACTTTTCCAAGAGAATTTTATAAACTAGTGATGGCCATCAAATAAGAATAAATGCTTACTGCAATATTCCTAAATCATGTTTTTAATGTCCCATGAGATCTGCTTTAAAAATAGTACCCTGAGGGGGGCCAGCCCTGTGGCCTAGTAGTTAAGTTCGGACTGCTCCCACTTTGGTGGCCTGAATTTGGTTCCCTGGTGCGGACCTACATCATTTGTCAGCAGCCATGCTGCGATGGCAACCCACACAAAATAGAGGAAGCTTGGCATAGACGTTAGCTCAGGGGGAATCTTCCTTATCAAAAAAAAAAAAAAAAAAAAAAAGAAAAAGAAAAGAAAAAGTACCCTGGGGTGAATTTATATGTCAAGTCAAGATTCTATAATGTCCTAATATATGTTTTACATTTTAGATCTATATATCTTTGAAGAGCAACAAGGATATCTTTCAAGCATACTGATTTATTTAAATCCTTCAGCCTCTGAAGTAAACAAAAATACTGGCTAATCAGAATTATTAGTTACTTCCTTTGCTCGGATCATTAATTTTAAAAAGTAACAGACATGGTGAAACTCTTTAAGGTAATGAAGTGGGTTGTATTAATTCTATTTAAAATATCGGTGCCAGCTCCGCTGTGGCGGCCCAGGGTTCGGATCCTGGGCGTGGACATGACACCGCTCGTCAGGCCATGTTGAGGCGGCGTCCCACATCCCACAACGAGAAGGACCTGCAACTAAGATATACAACTATGTACGGGGTGGGGGGTGGGGGGAGGTTTGGGGAGATAAAGCAGAAAAAAAAAAAAAAAGATTGGCAACAGTTGTTAGCTCAGGTGCCAATCTTTAAAAAAAATAAAATAAAATATCATGGAGCATTAAATTAAAATCTCTATCATTTGACCTCAGTGAAAAGAAATTATATCACCCTCCTTCCAGTTAAAAAGTTTCAGTTCCCAAGGACCTGAGAGTTTACCTAATGTGAATGAGCTGGGATTTGTTCTCAGAGAAATAACATATTAATGAGAGACAGTAATCAGTAGAGAGATACTGTATCTCATAAATTAGAAAATTAGCACATACACATTCTAAATGAAACAACCATACAAGAGAAGAGTTACAATCCTGGAGGAAGCAAATTCAAGTTGAAAAGTTTCTCCCCCCCATTCTTTTAGCTTTGTATATCACCTGTAGAATATTTAAGACCTCACACTCTATTACATCACAACATTGTTTATTATGTGAATTTTTTTTACAATACAAACAAAAAAAATACAGAAATGCAATATATGAATACAGCTAAATGCAGAATGGTGACTTTTTTTTCTTTCAAGAGGCCATGATTCCCATTTCTAGTAAAATAAAGAGACTGCACATAGGTAGAAATAGGTTGGTCATTAGCTTCACAATTTTGCCTAGAAATGATCTATAAATGCTTTTTCTTCCCCCTGCTACTTACCATAAAGTGTAAAAAGGGAATTAAAGGAAAGTTTCCTTGTTGGTTCCTACCATATGAAAGATGCTATATTCTATTTTAGCAGGGCCAATATATGGAAAATACCTAAATTAAATGTTATTACAAAAATGAAGCAGTAATGAGATTCTGGCTAAAGAGGGCACTAAATGAGAATAATATATATTTAAAGAATCCAAAACAAATAAACAAACAAAAAAAAAGGTTGTTATAAAAAAGCTCTAGGTGCATTGTAAGCATATAGGTTTTTTTTTTTCCATGTGTATTTTTAAACAATGGAAGTGTCAAAAAATAGGGTCAACTGTGTTAGACTAAATTACATTATTGTATACGCTGCATTGAATGGAACCTTTGTATTATAATTATCAGAGAAGCATAGTTTGCATCATATTATGGCAATTTATCCTCAATGAAAACCTTTCAGAGTCCTTTTATTTTGGAATATCCTGTAAACAATCAAACCACCAGAACATGATTGTACAATAGTAAAATGTTTTCTTGCATTAAATTGAAGACATCTGTTTAATAAAAAAAAGAAAAGAAAATGTAGGAAAGGTACTTAGAGCTGTTAGTTTCTAAGTACACAACACCCTAGACAATTCAAGGCATCTTAATCTTCATCAAGAACAAAAAAAAAATTTTTTTTTGTCATGCTGTTAAATCCATCATTAAGGATAAAACTGGTGCAAATTGGTCAAACGGATCCAACAAACACTGATGTCCAAGCTGGCATATTGGCAACTAATACGTAACTGGTGGTCAATAGAGGGTTTAAAAGATCTTCCCTTTCTTCTTGTTCTTTTCCAAGGTTCTAAATGATTAAAGGAAAGTAATCAAAATGAGTGACTACATTACAAACATTATAGACAACATATGGTAGCAATAGCTAGCCAAATTACAAGAGTGTTGGATTTTCAAACACTAGTTTTTCATTTAAAAAATTACAAGATTTAGAAGTGAACAATGAGGACAATGTTAGTCTATAAGAATATTTTCTTAGACAATCCAGTATTTGACAAAACTCCAAGATAAACAGTAGAAAATATGACAAAGAATCATTTATTCTTCCCAAATGAAATAGCGTATATTGAAAAAGATCAACTGACGTCAAATAGAATATCCTTTTTTCCTACTGCCCATTTGTATTCTGAAATGCATTTGCTTTTATAAATACGTTTTCCTCTTCCTTGGGGAAGAAGTTAATAGAAGAATAGTGTTACAGAACAAACATCTAATCTTGAAAATGTTTATTAGTACCGAGAGTTAACTGCAGAATCCTTACAGGGATGCCACTTTTCAGTGTTAAATGGGACTTATGAGGGAAAAAAAGAAAACCAAGGTACAAATATTACTGAGTTTCGTATAAATTAAGAGCAAGTAACTGATTAGATGTATTAGGAATTAAATATCCAAAATTTTATCTTAAGGATTTTATCCTAAAGAAATAATTCAACATAATTAAAACATACTCTGTAAATGTATAAAATATCTTTGTAGCAATGTTGTCTATGCTTGCCAAAAACTGAACACAACCATTATGTCCATAAACAATTGGGAGGAGGTAAGAAATTGATTATGGTGAGTCAACTGGGAAGAATGTTATAGGAAGCTACTAAATTATAATTATGAAGATTGTTAAGTCATGGAAAATGTAGTGAAAAGAACAGAGTACATAGATTGCATCCATCTATCTAAAAATATTCATCCACGAAAATGATTGTCCTTGGGATACATGATAATAGGTGATGTCTTTTAAAGTGTTATTTTAATCTTTTTAAAATAAGTAGGAAAATAATTCTTTAAAACATTATTATACATATTTCTTGGGAATCTGATATTAGTTACCTTGAAGAATTCTGTTGTTCTAAAATACGTTGCTGGGCTTCCCAGTTTGCTTTTTCATCTTCAAACTGACGACGTTTTTCCTCTAATTCTTTGTGCTGTGCTTCCAAATTCTTTTTCATCTGCTCATGGCGCCGTTGGAGCTAAATCACAGGACAATATACAAAATAAAACTATTTAAGAAATCAGGAGCAAAAGCAGAAATTTAGCAGGGACAGCAGTCTAGTTTCATCCAGGCATTCTAATATTAAAAGTATGGGCACTGAGTTCTTGTGCTATAAATTCAGAGTACTACCTGGAAAGCACTGTCTAGGATTCCTCCTCCTGTAGGACTTGCCACTCAAAAGGCCAGTGACCCAAGAGAATAATCTTGGGAAAAGGAAAAAAAGTGAAACAAGCTTACAGTTGTGTAGCACTTTATAATGAACACATCCTATCTTATCATCTCACTCTTCATTACTCACAAGCATGTATAAAGCTGAGCAGGGAAGACACCATTGCTCCCACTGTACAGATGAGCAAACAGTTGCAGAGTTTAAGTCACTTGCCCAAGATCATTAGTCAGAAATTACAGAACTGGGATTTGAATCTGTCTCCTAATTCCAAGTTTAAAAAGCTTAGATAAGTGGAAAGAAAGTGGGTAGATAAAAACCCGAGTTTCAAGGTCACAGTAAGGTTCCCTGATTCTTATAAAGCAGTGGTTCTCAAATGTTAGTCTTCGTACAAATCTCCTGGAGTACTTGTTAAAAATATAGAATCCTGGACCTCATATAGACATAGTGAATTAGAATCTCTGGGTGAAGAGTCTAGAAATCTGCATTTTCAACAAGTCCCAGTGACTCTAATACAGGTGGTTCTTCCTACATTAAGAATTAATGCTGTAAAGAATTCTGGCTGAGAGATGGGAAACACTCATGCAAAGTAACTACAGAAACCAAGAGCTTATCTAATGGTTCATTAAATAATTTCATTTAGGCACTACTCAGTCTACTTCTGAAGAAAATACTCATGTAAAATAATTACATTAAATCTAACTACACTGAATATCTAAGAGCTATTCAAAATCTTCAGATGTCCAGGAATTATGTTCTATTAAAAGACTGCATTACATCAGTGAATTAACATCTTAAATTTGGATTACAATATAATTTTGAATACAATTTGTTTTCTTAATTATTTTGTAAACCCACAAAAATAACTTCATATTC